ATACTTACCATGCCACATATATGTTTAACAGGAGTATAAGATTTGAAGAACTATGCACTAATTATAGTGGAATTGTGGATTCGCACATTTGGATTTATACACGTGCATCTACAGAGGTTTTTATGTTGGAACACAGATTCAAGTTTATAGCTTGTTGCACAGATCTTCCACTTTAATTTTTCAGTTGCTGATTTTAATCATGATCATTAGCATGAGGTGAATTTCACTCATTAAGTTTATTTATTTATATACACTTTGACTGAGCGCAACAAAAATTAGCACTATTATACACGATTACAAATAATCACATATTGTTGCAGCTGGTCTATTGTTTGGAACACTATTATACTCTGAGCGCAGCTATTGTTATTCATCTATTTAAAATAGGTGTTATCCCAATTTGGCTGCAAAAGTAGAAATACACTTTGAACTTTCTTAGAGACGCTTACAACACTGGAGAGGCCAGATCAGGGAAGACCAATGAGGATTCTCCAATGACCATGAAATGTCTAAAAAATTATACTCTATACCTCTGAATAGAAGAGTCCATCAACATGGGGAGAGAAACATAAATAACTTTGCCCATCCGGCCATAAGCACAAGGTTGTAAGGACAAAAGGACCTGATTTCCTAAAAGAAGAAAGGTCTCAGCAATTCGTCCCCTGCATTGTCCCTGGCTAGCAGAGTAATGTATACATTGCACAGCACAAGCACATCAGCCACCCCAATATACTCTGTAGCTAATTGTGCATTTGTGGCAAGTCTCAGACAGCAAGCTAGCTGCCCTGTTCCAGCATTTGGAATTTAAAAGCCAGAGAAGGAAATACCAGCAGGGCCACATTGTGTACACTATATCAGGCAGCTGGGGGCAATGCTGGGGATGAGGAGCAATCCTGAGTCCACCACCAGAGATTCTGATGATTAAATAAACTGTATATATTTATTAGAGTCCCGATCTTGTTACTATTTACTGTCTTACCTGACTCACAAAAAACAGGGAAAACATTTTTGCTGCAGAGACCGGATAACACCAGAGGCTGCGTGGCACAATCATGGCGGTCTCCGAGACAGGAAAATGCTCTGTGACTGACTGACACAGTACCCAAGGATCTGGAAAGCACCATAATGGAAAGTCCAGTGCACCAAGCACAAATAATAGGCTATCCTTGCCCCATTCAGAGGCTCAATTAAAACAAAGGTCTGGAAAGACTGGGACAGTGTGCCACTGCGCTGGACCGGGGGAGTGATCTGCACCCAAGTAGCATCATATATGAAGTTTGGAAAGGGCTACAAAGGCCACACACCAGGATGTCTTCCTCATATCCATGGGCTTACCCAATCTTATCCATGGGCTCACCCAATCTCTGTAGTGAATGTACAGAGATTGGGTGAGTCTGTGCCATGACTCTGGACCTGGAAAGCGCTCTGTCTGTAAACACAAAGGTCTGTAAAGCACCACAAGCATAGCCAGAGGCGGCTCTAGACTTTGTGAGGCCTTAGGCGAAACTCAAATGTGAGGCCCCCACTTACACCCATAATGAAAAATGAACTGTGATGATCAGTGATTAGAGCGAGCCCAAGGCCGGTGCACAGATTTTGCCTACACAGGTCCCCCCCTTCCCGACACCCTCAGCCTTATGCTAGCACCAGCCCTGGTCCCATGTAACCTGGGAGGTGAGCTGATTAGGGTTGCCACCTTGTCTTCCAGCGAAACCCGAACACTCTAGCACAGTGCACCATTTTTTTTTGCAGAATATACAGGAGAGAGAGCAAGGGAATACAGCCAGGTGAGAGAGAGAGGAAAAACAGCCAGGAGAGAGAGTGAGGAGAGACAGCCAGAAGGAGAGACAGCCAGAAAGGAGAGCGAGGAGAGAGTGCTGTGGTGATATGCAGGCACAACACGGGGACTAGATTGCCAGGTGCCCAGCATGTATGGTGTGTGGAGTTGCAGGGCCTTCATGTAGGCGCTGGAGCACAGGATGGCAATGAGCCGGCAGCATTTCTGGTTACACGCAGCCAGTGGCAAAGCTAGACATTCCGTCACTCAGGACAAAGACTCCCCCCAGTAGATGTTCTCACATAGCCTAGTGTCTGAAGGCCACATGCCAGGATAGCCCTGCAATCTTTAGTCCACCGTCTGGCCTCTAAAGCTATTGCTGAGGGGGGCGTGGCCGGCATGTGATCCCGTGCAGGCGTGAGAACGGGGAGCTCCGCTCAATCTAACATCCTGAACCTATCCTGGTGCTGATTTCCTTCACTTACCTGTGGTCAGGTGTTGCCGAACGCATCCTATACCTGATTTCCTCCTCGGCGGGGGCATAAATGAAACGCAACAAGAGTAGGTCGACCCGTTCATCTGGAAGGCCTCGTGGTGTCTCTGAGGCGGCCATCTTGGCTGGACTGACTGAGTGCAGCAAGATGTCAGTGGGAACACAGACGAGCGGCGCAGCTGAATTGACTCCCTCTCCCTCTAGCTCGGACATCCTGGTGGCCATCACATCGTGTAAGGAGGCCCTCACAACCAAAATTGATTCGCTGTATGTCCGTTCCTCATCCACCTCCTGAACTACAGGGACAGAGACCGGGTCCTTGCTGCGGCGAGAAGTCGCCCTACACTTCAGTATGAAAACGCTCGTATCTCTCTATTCCCTGACTACTCTGCGGAAATACAGCAGCAGCGCAGATCCTTCACCGAGATTCGTATGAGGCTGCGTGAGAAGGCCCTCCAATATGGTCTTCTATATCCTAGTTGGCTGCGGGTAAGTGATGGGGACACTACCCGCTTCTTTGACACTCCCGTGGCGGCTGCCGCTTGGCTGGATGCGGCCTGATCATTCCCTTCTTTTTCTTCTTTTTGTTGTTTTTAATTTTTATTGTTGTTGACATATGGCAAGTCAGCTTTCATCCTTCAGATGTACCAAGCTCCCTTACCGTGGCTTCAGCACTACCACAGATTGAGCTCGATGACTCCCGAAGCTCGAGGACTGGAAGTAACTCTTATCGGGTCACTACACTGCCCTAGCAGACTGTTTGGTTCTGGTTCAACAATTCCTTTTTTCTGACTGAGTTCACCTTTTTTGGGGATACTAAGCCTCCTGATACACTTTGCTCTGTGAGCGGGTTTGGGTTATGTATTGGGTTGGCAGACCCGATGGCTCACGAGGCAATCCCACCATCGGTTGAGCTATATTGGGAATATAACGCCTCCACTGCTGGGCCTGCTGTGATATGGGATGCAGTCAAGGCATATGTGAGGGGGGATTACATATCCCTCCAGAAGGCTATTAGAGCAGAGGAATCTGCCCGCACCATCAAGCTCCAGAATGCAGAAGCCAAATGTCTTTCCGAGCATGGGTCCTCCCCCACTCCTGACAATTTTGATGCTCTCATGACAGCCAGACGCACACTTAAGTTACATCTTGCGGATCTCACAAAAACCGACCTATATAAACGTAAACAAGAGTTCTTTGAGTATGGGGACAAAAATGGGCGTCTGTTGGCTATGCTGTCCCAGGTGGCCCGACCCCAAACTGTATTTGCCGAGATACTCTAACCCTAACACTCTTGTGACATCCCCAGAGGCTGTGCTGGAGGTATTTCGCAAATACTATACGACCCTGTATACGTCCTCCATGCTGACAGATGCCCAGTCCCCGGACTTGAGGCCCCTGCTAGACACAATAGCTCTGGGATGGTTGTCAGACAGTCAGCGTGGCTCTCTGGTACAGCCAATAACAGACCTAGAGATATTGAATGCCATTCGCTCTTTCCCAAATGGGACATCACCTGGACCAGATGGGATCACTATGGAATTCTACAAGACACACGCGGGCTTATTCGTTCCGCGCTTGTGTGAGATGTACAATACTTGTTTAGAGACTAACCACCTGCCGCCCTCGATGACTGGAGCCCATGTCATCTTGATTCATAAACCACCTAGAGACCTGACGGATTGTGCCTCCTATCGCCCAAGTGCGTTGCTTAACTGCGACCTTAAGATATTAACTAAGATTCTTAGTGTACGACTTAACCATCTGACAGATAGTCTGATAGACTCGGACCAAACTGGCTTCATGCCCCGCAGATCCACGGACATTAATTTACGCAGATTATTCACCAACATCCATGCATCCCATGTCAACACCGGGTCTAGGGTGGTGGCGTCTCTTGATATAGAAAAGGCCTTTGACACAGTGGAATGGTCCTATCTGTGGGCTGAGAATGACCTTGCGGCCAGACACCCAACACATGTCCTCAGTTCCCTGGGAATAGGGTCCAACTGGGCATGACACAGCTGGAATCTCTAGCAAGGACTGACAGACTGTTAAAGCCTGCCTCGTGTTTCTATAGTACCCTGCAGACCCTGACCTCCCCCGCTCTACTAACCCTACAGTCTAGATGGAGAGCGGACATCCCAGACTTGGATAATGAGGATTGGGAGGAGATTTCGGATGCTCCCTTTAAACAATTGGTTGCGATACGAGATAGAATGGTTCAGTTTAAGATACTTCATAGAGCATATTTCACACCTCACCGCCTACATAAGATGAATGCCTCTATTTCTCCAGGTTGTTGGAGATGCACATGCCCCGAGGGTGACTTCTTTCATGTATTCTGGGAGTGCTCCCTCATTACCTCCTATTGGCACTCCGTAGTTGAGTATATGGGTAGAGTCACCTCTCTACATCTTGCCCCGTCACCGCGAATGTGCCTTCTGGGACTGGTGGAAGAAGTAGCTCCGACCAGGTCTGAACGAACGCTGGTGGGCCTAATGTTATTCTATGCCCGTAAGGCAATTGCCATGTGTTGGAAGAAACCCAAGCCGCCAGCGCTGGCTTTCTGGAAGAAGCTGGTAAATTACAACTTACCTCTGTATCAGGACACGTATACCCATAGAGGATGTCCTGCCAAGTTCAACAAAGTCTGGGATCGCTGGTTGGAGTGCAGTGACTCAGCAGTGGACTCAGATGTCTGAGCTGGGGAGAGGGGTGGAGTGACCCCTAGGGAGACTCCTGCTTATGGGCGAATTCACGCTGCATTGATAAACCAAAGGAGACCTGAGTTCATACTATTAGCAGTACCTCCTTGTTACAATGTACTAGCGCTCTAATCCTGGAATGTTATGCCTATATGGTGACGAGCACAGTTGGTGAGCTATGTTGGGGAATGTCCCCACCCCGCCTGTACTTTAGCGGGTTCTCCCTCAGGGATAATCGCGCAGGGATTTTATTTTATTTTCTATTTTTGATTAAGTTATGATTATTTTGTGTGTTGTTTTTAGGTGCATGGCTACGCCTGGTTCCCGTCTTGTTGGGAACAAGTGGCATGCATTGTCATGTTTAAAACTGTGAAATACAATAAAACTATTTTGCAAAAAAAAAAAAAAAAGCTATTGCTGAGGGTTCATCCGATCCAGAAGGCTGCTGTATTTTGACCAACCAAAGCAGCATATTTGACTTTATGATTGAAGAGAAAAACTATCTACTGAGTACCAAGTAGGTTGATAAAAGATAAGAAAAGAGTAAAAATGTAGTTAGCAGAGATGAGGAAAAAGCATCCTACCCCCTAAGACATTAGCCAAAAACTTATGCATGATGGTTGAAGGCTGGCTTAGCGTTTTTTTATTCACTAGTATCCCAACCTCCAAAATGTGGCAGTATAACCATTGGTCTAAGATTGTTTACTAAAGATAAATAAATTACATTAACTTTTTCTTCATTGTCCAGCCAATCTTTTTACCGATATGTTGATATTTCACCTCTCACCTTGATAAATGGGGAATCCTTCTTGCTGGTGACAATGACCTCCCCTGTCCGGGTTGTGGTAATACCATGTGAGGATGGGAAACTACGGCGCGGTGGAGGAGGAGGCGGAGATTTAGATGGTTTCTCAGTTCGGTACCTGGGCACTGTCAGTTCATCTGAAAATAACAGCAAATCATACACCAACATCAAGGCTAGCTTACTACTCACAGAATTCCAAAATTCTTCTAAGGTTGAACACATCAGTGCCAGTTTTCTTACCAGAGCCCCTTCTTCCATTAGCATCTATTTTGTTACCAAGCTTCTGTGCCTGCTGTGGTTTGCTGGTACGGTGCTCTGGAGTAGATGTTGCACTTCCAGTTGGTTTGTGCTTGGCAGCAAAGTCCAAATCTGGAATAGCCTTCATGAGCTCGGCCTGGGTCTCTTCCAACAGCCGGTTAATATCCTTAGCACTGTATTGTGTCAGCGCTGCTCTTTTTTCCTCCCAGTCACGCTCTGCTGCCTATAGTGGAAATTAGTTAAGTACTCATGTACAGGTAAATGGTAACAAATCAAGGAAATATCACATATACATCCAGTAATCATCAAATTTAATCCAGTCAAACTCCTGCACCTCTATAGTTACAATTAATTACTATTTACCCAAATTAACCACCACTGGAAAGATGGCAGCTGTTAATGCAAATTCTCAATGTATAGAATACATTGCTAAAGATTGTAACTAACATAAAAAGTTAATAATTTCAAAAACCCATACGATTAAAACATACCAATAATGACAAAAACCCATACGACAGTGTGACTGATTGCATAACCTCTACTATATCATTGGCATAACATAACTATAACTTAATGGAGCTATCTTATTATGATATTGGCCTAAAGGAAACATAAACCCAAAAACAAAATATTTATATATTGCAGTTTACTAGTCCTTCGATGTAGTGAATGCATTCATTATTAGTTTTCTTGCTTTTTCCCTTTATTTTCAAATACCTTGTAATCCTGTCAATAATAGGGGCTTGTTCACACTAAGAGCGGAGCAGATGCAGAGCAGTTACAGAACGCATCACAAATGCATCCAATGTTTTCAAATGGTATTTTGGGCTCTAGTTCACACCAGAGAGTTCAGTTCCAGAGCATGTGAAAAAACTGCATCATGTCCTATTTTTTCTGCCCTGCCCTGCATTTGCGCATGCAAATGCATCAAAAACACATGCAAACACCCTGGAACGCAATGAGAGCCTATTTTAGGCAAAAATAAAAGGGCCCGGAACGCCACAAAAACATAGCAGAAACACGGCAAAACACACTGCACTGCATGTGCAGAAACTCATGCAGATCTAGTCCGCATTTGGTGTGAACAAGCCCTAAGACGCCTCCTGTCCATTTTGTGGCTGCCCTTTTTTATTGCTCCACTGTAACTATGAAAGGAGCTATGGTTTTCACACAGCTTAGACTATGCACATAACTGCCTTTGTTCATTTCAAGTTACATGGTGCACTGATGGGACTTGTAGTCTATGCAAGGAAAATTGTGGGTTTTCTTTTCAGCTCACATGAAGCGGCAATAAATATTTTTTTTGTTTTTGGGTTTAGATATGCTAAGATCTCCCTATTTATTAAGCTTATATAATTTAAATGTTTTATTTTCTGGGTGGCACTTTGAACTTCACAGTACTTTTATGCCCCATGTATAGGTCTTCTGCCAGTGACTCAATCAGCATGGTTGATAGTTTTATGTAGCATCTTTAATGTCATTTCTTGTTTACTGGTTCTATATTGGGCTCCCCCCTCAGGTCAGTGGCATCACATCCTCTTAAAGGAGAACAGGTCGGCTCAGTAGATCGGGAGGTGAGCGAACACATCCCAGGTTCGCTCGCCTCTCAATCCTGTCACGGGTCTCTGCCGTGACAGGGGGAGGGGCTGGATTCCCCTCTCCCCGCTCCGATCTGCCAGCGCTGACTGGCGGAACGGACGGGGGAGGTAGAGCCAGCTGTCACTCACGCAGCTGGGCGGATCCTGTCATCTACGTTGGGATCCGCTCCGGCTGCGGCGCCTCAGTATACCGCGAGCTGTAGCTCGCGGTATACTGAGCTTAGGGTAACGGGAGGACGCTAGTTTGTGTCCTCCCGTTACCCTAAGGAGAACTATGGGGAAAAACACTGACCCCATAGTTCTCCTTTAAGGGCCAATGAATGTTTCATGTATGGGATCAAGATGTGGATTGTTATGGCTACTAGGGTTAGATTTTCACAGCGAGTGTACTTTTAGGTCTATATGTAAGTGTGTTTTTCAATAAATTTCATCCCTTTTATCATTTCCTTATTGATATATTGGTAACCCCCCCCTTCCCCCACCCACAATCCTATACATTTAGATGTGCGTATGGGGGAAGGCAGATGTGCAATGTCCATTTGAAATAAGTGTCTGTTTTAAATCAAGGGTCGGCATCATCGACACACTTAGAAAGCACACAAAAATATATCTACAGTGCTCCTGACAGACTGTAGGTGATCCTGTTTTCCCCATTCACCTCTCTCTTCCAAATCTGATTTCTACTCTCCGGCACCTAACATGCTTTCTCTACCATTGCTTTTCACAATTGTGTCTTCTCTTCTTAAACTGCCTTTTTTTTACCAGAACCCCCCCCCTCCACCCCACAGATTATATATTTTACCCACTCCTGCTCTTTACCCCTATTACTGCACTCATCACCTTCTGCTCATTCTGAACCCACATACTAGGGTTACTAGGGACACTGGGGCATGTGCACCGTGAGAGCCGGTCCCCTAGACATGAGCAGCCAGCAGGATGCAACACGGATCCATGGATGACACGGATCGGAAAAAAGCAGGTAGATCTCGGGCAATGCAAGATCACCACTACGGACAAGGTATTTTACCAGTATGCAACTGTATCATGTGTTCAGCATATAGCTAATTGCACCTGGGCAGCATGGTGTGAATCACGTTGTTAGGACGTCAGAGGAGGAGGTATTAACTGCATTGTGATTGGTGGTTTGATTTTGTTTCACCTGTATTTATTGTTTGACTAGAAAGAAATGCAAGGAGTACATTCCACCTTAAGGTATGCAATTACCGAAAGGGGAGGGGCTTTTAAGAAATGCTATAAACTCTCTCATTGTATAAAAAATATGAATTCATTCATTACATAATTGGAAATTAACAAAGTTGAAACATAATTGGTCTATTTCGCATGCATATTTATTATTTGATTTTGTTGCTTGACCCACTCTCTGTTTGCCTGAGGACGAGACCGCATGGTCTCGAAACGTCGCTAAGGAGATGTGTGTTATCTCAGTCAATAAACAGCATTGACTTTAATATCATGGAGTGCGAGTGACTACTTTCATCTATCTACATTTTACGGAGGCATCCCTTGTCACTACCGCACCCACCCAGTTGGATTTGAGTTTTTGTCCGGTCAGGAGTGCGATGGGACAGGAGGATTAAGTTCCAATATTCAAAAAGGGGGCTAGATGCCAAGCAGGGAACTATAGGCCGTTCAGTCTAACATTGGTAGTTTGTAAACTGTTAGAAGGTATAATTAAGGACTAGGGGGCATAGTTAATGACAATTAGCATGGGTTCAGGAAAGACCGTTCCTGCCTGACTAACTTGCTAACTTTTTATGAGGGGGTAAGCAGAGATATGGATGGAGGGAAGCCGGTAGATGTGGTATACCTGCATATCTCAAATGCATTTGATACGGTACCACACAAGCGCTTACTTCACAAGCTGAGGGCTATGGGCATAGATGAGGTGGTGTGTACGTGGATAGAGAACTGGCTACTGGAACGTGTCCAGGGAGTATCTGTAAATGGCACCTTTTCGGACTGGTCTAATGTGATGACTGGTCTCAAGGATCTGTGCTGGGTCCGATACTGTTCAACCTATTCATTAATGACATCGATCCAAATACTATGTAACTATGTAACCCTGTTCTGCCCTGACCTGGCTACGTCTGTCTCCAACATCTCACTCACATCCTCCCTAGACCCCTTGGCTCCTCTCACCACATGCAGAACAACAGTAGAAACCAGAAACCTTAAAAGACATAGCTGCACTCTTGAGCAAGTGTAGCGTAAAACTAGGTCTCTGCAAGACCTCACTAAAGCTGCCCTCCTAAAATATAATTCCTCCCTCCGTGCTGCCAAACAGACTGATTTATTCACTCATTAACACACTCTCATCCAGCCCTCGTCAACTCTTTTCTACTTTTAACTCTCTACCATGTCCCCCACAGCCTCCTCCCAATAGCTCATTCACTGCACAGGACATTGCCATTCATTTCAAAAACAAAATAGATGCAATTCGGGATGAGGTCTCCACTGTCCAGTCACCTTCACCTATTAACGTACCAGACCCACCATCACACTTGTTACTTTCCTCTTTTGACCCTGTCACTACTGAGGAGGTTGCAAACGTTTCTCTGGCACCTGCCTCACTACTTGCCCCCTGGATCCTGTTCCCTCACCACTACTTCAGTCACCCTCTTCCTCTAACCTACAGTCTCTTGCTCACATTTTAAATCTTTCCCTCTCTAATGGCATCTTTCCCTCCCCTCTAAAACATACACTAGTCACCCCAATACCCAAAATCCCCTCACTGGACCCCACCAACCTTAACAATCTCAGACCAATCTCCTTACTCCCATTCACCTCCAAACTCCTAGAACACCTAATCTACAACCGCCTGAGCCGCCATCTCACTGATAACAATCTCCTCGACCCCATATAGTCTGGCTTTCGCCCCAAACACCCCACTGAAACTGCCCTCCTAAAACTCACTAATAACTTGCTAACTGCTAAAAACAATGGCCACTACTCCATACTCTTGCTATTAGATGTTTCTGCTGCTTTTGATACAGTTGACCACCCACTGCTCCTCAAAAAACTCCACTCACTTGGCCTACAAGACTCTTCTCTCTCATGGTTCTCCTCCTGCTATCTAAGCACTCCTTTAGTGTTACCTACCAATCGTATTCCTCCTCTCCTATTTCCCTGTCTGTTGGGGTCTGCAAAGGCTCTGCCCTTGGACCCCTTCTCTTCTCGATCCACACCTTTCCCCTTGGATCAGTCTGGACAGACATATCAGTCTGGATGTCACAACACTGCTTAAAACTTAATTTTTAATCAAAAACCAAGCTCATTATATTTCCTCCTCCCCCAACTTTTCCATTAGGGTTGATAACACAACTATCCATCCCTTTTCCCCCAATGCCAAGGTGCTAGATGTAATCCTTGACTCGGACCTCACCTTCCTGCCCACATCCAATCACTATCCTAATCCTGCCGCCTGCACCTTTGTAACATCTCCAAAATAAGGCCCTTCCTCACCACTGAAACCACAAAGCTACTTATCCACTCACTTGTTATCTCTCATCTTGACTATTGCAACTCCCTCCACATTGGCCTACCACTACATAGGCTATCCCCTCTTCAGTCTATCATAAATGCTGCTGCTAGACTCATCCACCTAACCCTCCACTGGCTTCCAATCACCCAAAGAATCAAATTAAAAATATTATTAACCGCTTACAAAGCAATCCACAACTCTATCCCGGCTTTATCTCCAACCTTGTTTCAAAGTATCACCCTAACCGTCCCCTCTGATATTCCCAAGACCTCCTGCTCCCTCATCAACTCCTCCCATGCTCACCTCCAGAACTTCTCTATAGTCTTTTCCATCCTATGGAACTCCTTACCCCAACCTGTCTGATTATTTCCTACTCTGACTGCCTTTAGGCGATCACTAAAGACGCATCTCTACAGGGAAGCCTACCCCTCTCAAACTAACCACTGAACTATCACTTTCTAAAACAATTCATCCCCAAACAGCTACCTCCTCATGTGTCACTTGCTCCTCCCTTAGATTATAAGCTCTCATGGGCAGGACCCTCCTTATCATCTTGTCTTGAATTGTATTGTAATTGTAATGTCTTCCTTATATTGTAAAGCGCTGTGCAAACTGTTGGCACTATATAAATACTGTATGATAATAATAATCTGAATCATCTGTATTTCAAACCTCATCAAGAGTAATGGCTATCTGTAGGTGTTTAACCGCCTCCTGGCCGGCCGTCGTAAAAAAACGGATGGCCGGGAGCTTCCTGGATCTGAGCAGGTGTTTTTAAATGTTCCGTCAGCCACGCCCACTCGCACGCGGGCGGGAAAGTGCCAAAATGTAAACACAGGCAGCGATGCCCGTTTACATACAATAGCCGGCGGATCGCTTGTATAACGTGCCTGTATGTGCGCCCCCTCCGCGGCCCCCCCTTTCCACTGGTCCAGGGCTCCGATGTGCCCGGTGCGAGCCCGGGACCAGCATAGTGGCTCTGTGACGGGATCAGAGGAAGATCGGTACACGAGCTCCCTCCAGTCTCCTCTCCAGTGTCAGAATGCGGAAGTGATGTATATTACATTACTTCCGCATTCTTGTGTTACTCTCCAGCTTCAGAAGCTGAAGAGAAGCTGATGAAGCAGATCTCTGCTGCGTCAGCTTCTTTGGGGCTCCCTAGGTGACATTAGGGGTCTCGGAGACCCCAGATGTTTCCATAAAGAGGACCCCTGATGTTTCCATAAAGAGGACCCAGGGTTTCTTAGCCCCCCTATGTGATAACAGTAAAGTTAAAATTGGTGAAAAAAAATGAAAAGTTGCAAAAAAAAGTATTAGTCACACATCAAAAAGAATTTTTAAAAACACAATTTTTTTTAAAAGTCCCAACCCAAACATACACGCATGCAAACATGCGTTGGGTGCGCATATGTGCGGAAACGATGATTGGGCACATTAAATCGCACATGTTGCATATCGCCACGAACGACGCAGTGAGAGCAATACTTCTAGGGCTATTATTCCCTGATAATACTAAACTGATGAGTGGTAAAAGCTTTTAAAGCGTCGCCTATGGTCAATTTTGCGTATGTTTTTTTGCGGGTGCGCGCAATTTTAAAGCTTGACGTGTTTGGTGTCTATTTACCAGACGTGACCCCCCTTTTATATTTTACCAAAAAATTGGGTAAGAATAATTGTATTATAACATAATGTAAAAAAAAACATACTTTTTTTCCCCAAAAATGTCAATAATTTTTCCTTAATATAGTAAAAAATAAAAACCCCAGTTGTGATTAAATACCACCGAAAGAAAGCTCTATCTGTCCCCAAAAAATTGTATAAAATTAATTTCAGTACAGCGTTGCGTGACGGAATAAATGTCAGTCAAAGTACCGCCGTGCTGAACACAGAAAAATGTCCTGGGCAGGAAGCGGGTGTAAACACCTGGTCTTCAAGTGGTAATCCAGTTAATGAAAGACTGTCAGGTCTTACCTCAACAGACTTCTCAGCCCCAATCCTCTTGTTATGTGTCTCTGATACAGTCTGGGTCTTCACAGTCACCATCTCCCCTCGAGTAGGATTAGTAGTAAAAGCAACAGCATCCATTTGACACAAAGGCTCCCATTTGTGTGTCTGAGACTCAATTATCTGAGAAAAGCTTGTTGGGGGGCTAGAGGGCAGCTCAAATTCCATCCTTTTAGAAAATTCTACTTCAGTGGCTGTTTGCTTGGGGGAAGGATTGCTAAGGTTCTCTGGTGTATTCCACACTCCTTCATCTACTTGTCTGGAAAACAAAAGAAAGAAAATCAGTAAATTAAGGTAAGAAGAGAGAACTGTTTTAGGGACATATATAACAAAAGTGCACAATAAGCACAAGGGATACAAAAGGAAGAAATAATTTACATAACCGACTGTCCCTATTCCTACTTGTCAAATACATACATTACTACCAGCTAGTCATGTTGCCTAAAGTGATATTAAACCTTCATTTTTAATTTTTTGCTGAGGAGACACCCATGCCTGTTCCCGCAGCTACCTATGTGCATCCATAGGCACACACAGCTTGTGGCAATGGGGGTACAAAAAGGCACTGGGCATTTTTACCTTAATGCAATGAATACATTAAGGTTAAAAAAATGCCTAGCCTTTAGTGATACTTTTAGACTTCATCTACAAACTGTCCCCATTTCACTTCATCTATTTATCTGCTCCCTCATAAATGGAAAGGGAGTTGTATATAAACAAGAAAATAAACTAGAGATAAGTTTGATTTATACAAAAGGTAGGTATTAAAGTATATGCAAACTCTCTTTTTCCAACTGTTGGTCTGTTAAATAGACCAACAGCCTTTTGTTATATCTGTTTCATAAGTGCAGTGGGGTTTTTCACACAGCTTAGACTATGCACATATCTGCCTTTGTTCATCTCAAGTTACATGGTGCACTGATGGGACTTGTAGTCTATACAAGGAAAATTGTGGGTTTTCTTTTCAGCTCACATGAAACTGCAATAAATAATTTTTTGTTTTTGGGTTTAGATATGCCAAGATCTCCCTATTTATTAAACTTATATAATGTAAATGTTGTATTTTGTTTTGTTTTTGGATTTATAGTGGCCTAGCTTTGAAGCTTTTTTGCATAGTAAATGGGAAGGCAGATTTTCTGGGTGGGACTTTGAGCTTCAGAGTACTTTTATGCCTATTTGGGATCATGTATAGGTCTTCAACCAGTGGCATGGTTGATAGTTTTATGTAGCATCTTTAATGTTTAATGGTTCTACTGTATATTGTGTTCCCCCACAGGTCAGTGGCATCACATCCTCACATTTCATGTATGGGGTCAGATTTGGATTGTTATGGCTACGAGGGTTAGATTTTCACACAAGTGTACTTTTAGGTCTATATGTAAGTGTATTTTTCAATATATGGGTTGATATTTCTGTAATCTATAAGTACACATGATTAGCATGTATTTTTTGTAACTCCATGCGATTTTGGTTGCATAAAACAAAATGCAAAATGTCTTGACTGTGGGCTGTATTTCGATAACCTTCTGGTCATATCTTGTATTCATATATTCACTCATTTATGGTGGAGTAACATGTCTGATGATATTTGATGGTGTTTTTAAAGTGAAGTAACAATAAAAACCTTCTGACATAAAGATATTGTTAAAGATAAGAGTAATAAAAAAAATCTCCCAATGCTATATTTCAAAACCATTTTGTGGTACAATATGGTTTTATTGAAGTGTTAAAGAGGTGGTAGTTATATTCAAAGTATTATCAATTTATGTGTATAAAGTACAACACTGTCTAAATATATGAATATGCAAATTATACCATATTATTTCTGCTATGGTATCCACATTTAATTTCTGCTCCATCCTGCCTGAACTGCTGTCTGTTCAAAAATCCTGCTATGGTATCCTCATTTCATTTCTGCTCCACCATGCCTGAACTGATGTCTGTCTGTTAAAAAATCCTGCTATGGTATCCACATTTCATTTCTGCTCAACAGTTCTTCTGATTTGACCTACAGTATACGTGATGCCTATTTAACTGATATATACTCACTTTCTGTTTGTTTAAAAGGCGATTTTATCTTTATGGTCTATGCCTGTCTTCTCCTAGTGTGGAAAGTTTGCTCTTTGATTCCATGTGTCTTTTATCATTTGCTTATTGGTTAATTGGTAAACACCCCCCCCCACCCCCCACAGTCCTCTTAATTTAGATGTGCTTATGGGGCACAGGCACTTTTGCAATGTCCATTTGAAACAAAGGGGTTGATTTACTAACCTTATAAACACGCCACGAACAAGTATACACCTCTGTAGTGTGTTCCCTCCCAGCATGATCTATTGGTGGAATCTAGACACCTTTGTAGTGTGTACACACCCAGCAGGTGTGTTGTGCAACGCCCTGCATGAATTGCAAGGTGATGTTGTGTAAATTAGCTCTATGTTGTGTTGCTTGCATTGATGAATGCAGGAATGTAAATGCATGAGCTAACCATTTTTGTCTAAACTGTGAAGCAGCATTATATATGCATCATATGCATGATTTTTCCATATGTGGCATTAGTGTAAATATGCTTTTAGAGACTTTTTGGTTGATAAATACGTTTTGCTGTGTAAAAATCACACGCACCTAGTGCGTGCGTGTGGTTAGGTTAGTAAATCCCCCCCAAAGTGTCTATTTTAAATTAAGTGTCGGCATCATCGACACACTTAGGAAACACACAAAAATATATCTACAGTGCTCCTGACAGACTGTTTTGACAGCTCAGAGATCCGGCCAAAAGGATTGATTAGTAAAGTCTGCATGAGACCTTACTAATACCACGGGATCACCAGGGATCGTGAAGGTGATTGGGGGGGTTGTCTGTGTGTGTGTGTGTTTTATTTTATCTGTGGGGGGGGGGAGGGGAAGTCACCCATTCAAGTTAATGATCAGATGACAGCCACTGCATGTAAACGCCTGCACACCGCATCAGGGGTGTGGAATTCGTATCGCCCGACGCCCGGGACATGCAGTTCCGGGCGCCGGGCAAGTTGTTTTGTCACTATTTTAGCACTGCTACGGACAAGTAGCAGGGCTGGGTTTTTTTTCTTAAATGAGAGCGGCGCTGCGAGCGGGGGGCGTGGACGGAGCGGGATAGTGGAGCTGTGACAGGCTCTGTCACCTCCCTCAGCCTCTGTACCCAGCGGCCGCTGCTCGTTCCTATCACAGGAGTTCTAGCAACAGTGCTGTGCTAGAACTCCTGTGTTGGAGGTGACAGGGTCAATAAAGAGTACCTGTCACCTCCAAATGCTACCACACAGGATTATTATTCCCTGTGTGATAGCAATACAGTTAAGTTTAATAGTTAAAATGAAAAAGTAAAAAATAATCATTAAAAATGTAACTATATAAAAAGGCGATTAAGGAAAAAATAATAAAACAAATGAAACATTTTTACAAAGTAAATAAAAATTTAAAAAATGAAAACCAGCCCCGCTGTCCCCATCTGCATGCGACTAAACGCGCAGTGTTTTCAACTGCAATCGTATGCAACCGCTCGGGCATGGCGGTATTGCAGCAAGAAAAACGGGCAATCTGCCTGGCATGACTGGGGTGTCAATAGAAAATAATGGCACTGCCAGCGCGATCGGCAGGGGTGTGCGATCCGTGACTGCCTGGCCATCGTGCATGAAACCGAGCGGATGGCTGGGTGGTCACGGAATCGCACACCACCGCCGATCGTGCTGTCAGTGCCATTATTTTTGAATGGCACCCCAGTCGTGCCAGGCAGATTGCGTGGTTTCCTGCTGCAATACCGCCTGGGCAATCCCACATGATCATGGTTGAAAACACTGCGCGGTGCATGTCGTGAAAATAGGTACATCTACCTTTTTTTCAGCAATTGCCACGCAGATGTAACCCCATACATGCGGATGCAACCGCTGTATGCCACCGCACACGATCGCACGTCCTGGGAATCCCCAAGTCTGCACCAACCCTAAAGGGTAAATTCCCTTTCCCAAGTAATTTGGGAAAATGGAATTACCCGCACAAATCTCCCTCCCACTATACTTACCTTTCGGCGAATGGTCCTTCTCTTCTACCAGTACGGGTGTACTATCTGTGCCTGTTCAATGTATTCTGAATTTCGCTCGCAAAATTCAAGCACTCGTTGGTCAACGCAGAGAAGTGCTTCTTAGCACTGCTAAATACGGGTTTGGTTAACATTATTTTTTTTTGTATTAAGACAAGTAGATTGTCATGAGGGACAAGTAGATTCGGCCCCCGCTTTAGTCCTTGGACAAGTAGTTTTTTCTAAAAATGTCCACACCCCTGCGCATGTAATGGTAATGTTATATGTAGTTAGGAATCAATCACTATCCCTGGATGCATGATCAATGCATTCAGGGATAGTGATTGTTTTCTAACTGCATGTAATCATATCATATATAATAATATATGCTGTAGCATGTTATTTCTAGTTGTGCCCCTGGCCCAACCCCAAGGAAAGATAATTTATACATCTCTCTCATGCACACAATTCCCTCTCTGGAATAGATTACAGCTGTACTTTTGACTCACAGGCACATCAAGCTGAAATTCATCCAATGGTGATCACTCCTCAATTTCAATATCCTCAAAAGGTAATGCCATCTTGTGGTGATTCCCTTCTAAACTAGCACAGGACTCATCCTTTCAGGTCATACTCCAAGAAGCTTAGTGGGAATTTCTTACATATAACTAAAACCCAAATATTTATCCTATTCTGTTATGGAAATCTGGCAAAGCATTTCTAGGGGAAACATTCTGTCAAATGTATCTGCTAAAAAGAAACACACACGATTACAATACATTTAAGATAGCTCCTCCTTGAGAATTGCTCATACGTTGCTTGGCCAGTGATCCTACCCTGCTACACAGATCTCAATGACAAGCTGCTAAAGAACATTTCAATAGGTGGGCAACCCAACAAGATATCCATTTTCAGGGCCATGCCAACCTGAAATATTGTAACTTTGTAACAGGTGCGTTACCTCACATTTTTTTTTCTCTCAAGGACAGTCTGGCTGTTGGTTATGTGTTTAAATAAAGCACTGAGATCTTAAGTTTTACTTTTACTTGCTTATAAGGACATTACATCCTTACAGCATATATATATATATATACAGGGCTTGAAAAATTTGATAGTGTCTCACCAGTCAGTCAAAAATTTCACCAGTCAGAATGAAGGGGAGTTTGTATACTGAATTCCCTTTGATCTCATGTCAAAGAGCCGTGCCGGTC